ATTCTTCCCTAGTGTTTGAGTGCTCTCTGTATTATTTGCTTTCTCATGTACCACAGAGGAAAAAATGCTGATTCTAAATAGGCCTATTTTTATGACCCAAGTTTTAGCTTGGATTATTAACTGCTAAAATACAAATGATGCTAATATGCTGACAGCCCTCTTAATAAGAGTGTGGTATTAATAATGCAACTGGAAAAAAAAAAAGTTATCCAACTGATGTGCTAGTACAGAAAAACTGCTGATTATTACTTTAAGGGGACTGTTAGCAAATAATGTATATATTAAGAACCTATGTATGTAGACAGACATAATTATTCACAGTATCTCTCCACAGCAATAAATTTGTGTCCAGTTTTTACCCCAACAAGGAGGATGTTGGAGGGACTTTAACGAAGTGACTGACAGGACTGAACCCTAAATTTAGCAAGCAGTAAACTTTGTAAAATGAATGGAACTTACACACAGATATTACATATTGAAGAAGTACTTTAGGACTCCAGAATATTGTCTGTTTAAAAAGATAGTATGCAATCACTTGATACTTAATCAAAACAATTATTTAACCAAATTTTATAGCAGTTGTTTTATGATGGTGCATAGAGTAGTGATTATTAACATTTTAATGAGATTTAAGTATATGGTGCCTAACAAAAGCAAAAATGAGTTTATTCTTCAAATGAGTGTTTATAGTTTGGGTTGTTTATGGTAATTCACTTTAGAATACAGTGATCTGGCTATTGTGTGTTGCTATTGAACATTACAGTGAAAGGCAGCAGAATACAGCGAGTCTGCATAGTGGTAGCTAATTAGTAGACCGCTGGCCAAGGAACCTCTGTATGCTTTTTCATGTAGTCTGCTAGAGGTTTGGCTTCTCTTTAATGAAAAATCTTTTACTGCCTTGAGAATGGAAGCTTGTGGCTTTATCTTAAACACGCGGCTTTATCCTAAAGTGGATTTTGGAGAAGCCGATGTAACGGTGCCTTTGAATGCTAAGTTACATTTTTAGTAATGGACACAAAAAATCAAATCTAATTTGGAAGTAATGGATTTCAACAGATGAGAATGAGCTTGTACCAAGTTTATTTAGGCAACCTATTCCTGGCAAAACATAGATGTTAATTCTCTCTGTAGCTTATCTCTGAAGTTCAGACCTAAGATTCTCAGTCAATGTTAGTGCACCAGTTTTTAACCTATACAGAAATAATGATACTTGGTTGTATTTGCCCCTTTTCTTCCCTGCCACCGTATGAACTGCCACTCTGAGAGACAAGTTCATTCCATAAAAAGGCCACTGAAATCAAAGTAGCTGCAAATTCAGTAAAAACCTCATGCTTCATCCTCTCCTAGGTAGGATATCCTGTGCATTCCCTGGACTTAGGCTCCATGTCAGAAACAGACCTGTAGCGTATCTTCAAAAGAGCTAGTTAGTTAGCCCCATTTATCCCCCATCCATCAGATCAGATCTATGTAGGCCAAACTGAAGAGGGCAAGGGGAAATTGCTGCTAATTGGACTAGCCAGTTTGAACGAACAAGTCACAGTCAACTTCTGTCATAACTTTAAAAGACTCGGGAATTACTACACACAGTGGCATGTCTTTGTTTCACAGGGAAAGCTTCTTCCATCTCCTTTCTAACCATGAGTATTGTTTCTCACATTCTCTCCTGCATGCAGACTAGATAAAATGTCATTTTCATTCTGACTCTACCACTAAGATTACTGTGATGAATTTGAAACTAAATTGTCAAAACAATATTTAAAACAAATTTCATTACTTTCACTGAAAGAAAGTCAAGTTGCAATAGGTGTGATTTGAGTTGCCTGAAATGAAATTTGTGCTGTAGCAACTGGCCTAAGAAACTTCCTTCTCCGGGCCTTTACTCAGATCAGCTTAGATTTGTAATATGGGATATTCCTATTCCCTTTAACTCCTGTCTGCCTTTGAGGCCAAACAAAGACTTGACACCCAGCCTGCAGCCAGCACAGCCCCTCTGGAGAGCCTTGAATTCGGCAGCTTTGCTTCTAACCAAGATCACAAATATCCTTCTGTTGTTGGTTTGTATCTGTATATATTTGTGTGGAACTTAAAATAGCTCACTGGTCAATATGCAAATAGAGACAAGACGTTACCTCAGTGCATTTCTGTGTATCAGCAGATGTTCCTCATGCTCTTCCCTAACTGCACATGCCAAGAGACATGTATTTTCTAAGATACCTGCACAAGAGAGCTTTGAGCCTTTTTCAGATCCACAGAACTTGAGGTCCTGAGAATGACTCATCCTTCTGTCTTCCCAAGGGCCCGGGCACAATCCAACTGATGGCAACTTCGCACAGTGCTGCGAGGAGCCTGACAAAGGCAAGTCTAGGGAGCTTCTAGCAGTGTACGGTCCCAGTCCAGTAGTAAGGTGATGCTACGTCTTGCTACGCACATCCTTATCGACCTCTTCTGTCATGGTCTTTAGTGCTGGGGACAAATCATGGGGTTTGAAATACTGAACCTTGGCACTATGCTTTGAAACTGAGAAACTCACTTTTTTCACTCTACACAGAAAGCAGCAAAGGCTCCTTCTGTGCCGTGGCTGTTCCATGAACTCAAAGAGTGAGTTGCTGTTCCTGGAAGGTGACTGCGTACCTTCCTTAAGATCAAATTCTAAGGAAAAATGAGCGAGATAAACATCGTACTATCATGCTTTGGGAACAAGGTAGTGCATTGTCTTTCTCTGTTTAGGTTGCTTCATCTTGAGCAGGGGCTGTGAGGTTTTTATGGGATTAGAGGCACAGAGGGCATTCATTCTTCAACATCATCTCTTAATCCCCTCGTGCCATCTTTGAAAGAACGTGTTGCGAAGAGAGAGGTAGTCAAGGGAGACAAAGGACAAAGTGTAAAAGAATGTCCTTGGTTCCCTATTACTTTTATTTTTGCATCCAAGACCAGCCTACATGTAATCAGTGACTGTTCAGAGCAAAGTACTCCTAGGAGCATTCTGTAGTATGAACAGCTATATAGTTAATTTCTGGAGAGAAAGTTTTTTCTTACTGGTGAGCATCCTTCTCTGGCCCTTGTGCTTGTACTTGGTCATGATTTGTGCTCCCTCTTTTTCTACATAGTAGTCCCCTTCTCAGACGAGCCCCTTGGTTGAGAGCCCCTGATGATGGCAGGCACTCCACTCCTTTATACCTGTTTGCATGGTATAAGCTCACCTGTAAGCCTGTGGAATTTTTTTCTAAGGTTTGCTGTTTGCTGTTTGCAGTTCAAATGCCCATCTTGAAAATACAAATGTATACCTTGCACAACTACCTTCACTGGGAGGTAACGTTCGTGGTATTCCTTCTTCTCCTAGACAGATCAAAAATACATACTTTGTCTTTTATTTACAAGCTAGAAAACTTTCAATTTGAAAGATATTTTCTAGGAAAGTACTTATTTCCAAGGCTGAAAAAAATTATGTAATTTGTGAGGCTCTCCATAGCAAAGCATGCTGCATATAAATTAATGCTGTCTCTGGCCACTACAGAATGATGATTCCTCCTGATACATAGTATTTATTACTCCTAGTAAAAGAAACACACAGGTGAGAAAATTCATATACCCTGGCAACCAAAGAGCTAAAAAATTATGCAGTTTATTAAATGATTACAACATCACAAATGAAAATACTGAACTTTGAGTTGTGATTAAAATCTCTTGTAACTGTATTTTATTTTACAGATATGGCCTCTGAATGACTTTGGATTTCTACGTGCAAGCCCCAATGGCCATAGATTTCTTGATGATTAAAAGATTAAGTGACTATTGCCAGCTTTCATAATATTTTCTACTAAAATCAATGGAACTATTTTTGTTTAGAATAAACACAAGTATTACTTGACAAAGATGTCTCTTCCTGAGATTACATCTAACTTGTAAGTGGGAATGATATACTGCTGTCATCAACAAAAATGATATGCCTCTTACTCTGTTTCCTCTGGCTATTCACAGTAAGTGCTCGGATTTATTAGAAAGTTTTGGTTTTTACTACAAGCCAAGGTTAGCATTGACTGTTAACAAGGGATGAAAAAGGCACAATGCACTATTACGCTGTCACACATCCAGAGCCACACATAGGCTATGCCGGTATTAGCAAGTAGTGTGGCATGCTAGGACTGCAACTGAAAACAGTAACGGGGGGTCTGGATCTGCTAGTCCCTTACATGTGTTTTGTGGGGTTCTCCTTAAACTGGCCCTAGTTTGGCCCAGTGGACTGTATGCCCAGTAGTGGTCAGAGCACAGCCTCCTGGTTAGTCTTCATCTAAGGAATGAAGACTGCATTTGTTCAGATGCTGGAGAGAGTCAATTCAAAACGTGCTCCTGCTCCAAGCTGAAAAGGTAATGTAGATGCACTGCCATGGTCCAGGGCTATAAGCACAGAACCTGCTACTTGGTACTGAGACAACTCGCCTGTTTGATCTGCGAGACTCTGCCACCTCTTCCGAAGGCTCAAGTTCTTGTGAGGATTTAATGAAGTTAAATATTTAGCATAGAAATAGAAAATGTTCCTGTTTCCCATTAATACACCTTACTCTTCATTATCTTCAAAGCATTCTCACATGTGTGCTTCCTGATTAAATTTTGTCATCTGAGCTGTTAAAAGGATTTAACCTAAGAGGTAGGGCCCAAGGTAGAGTTGATAGAGACTGAGATTGAAAGGAGCTACTCCCTTGTTTGCTGGGAAAGAAATGTCATTTAGCTCATGAGATGTATTCCAGTTGTACAGAACTTAGTGTTCTGTTCTGGAGGTTTTTAATAACTAGCTCTTTAGCTGTGGAAGGGAAAAAAACCCACAAGCCTCATGCCCATTTGCTAACATAGCTCTGCAGGCATATTTCCTTTTTTAAGCCTGACTGAACTTGGTCATGTAGTGCTCCCCTTTTCTTTAATATACATTTCTTTAGCACATGCTGTCCCATGTTTGTCCAGTCTTTTTAAAAGTTTGTAACTCTTAATGTGCTTGATTGAAACAATCATTGAAGGATCTCGATAACAAGTGAACACGTGTCACAACAAACCGAAGATACATCCTTGGTTTCACTCCTGAAGACAGTGTAATTCCCACCACATCGACATGACAGAGTATAACATTGTTCATCTGCCAAAAAAAAACAAAACAAAAAGCCTTTAGTGCTTGAGAAGAATCAAGAATTTATTTTGGATTTTCTTCACAAAGCTGCTCTTAACAAGTGACTACCCACTGCTGGATTGTAAGTACCAGTACCTGTGCTATCATTTGTTGCTCAAAAAATAACTATACTCATAAAATATTTCAGTGACTGTGAGGCATTCTTATGCCAAACAGCCAGGGTCAGTGTAGTCTCTTTAAAAAAAGCAAATAATAAAAAGGTTCACATCAATGAAACAGGAACTAAAAGAAAAAACTAAGGGGTGTTAGTCATACCTATGACAGATCAAGGACAGTTCCAAAACAGACTGCTAACCAGGAAATAGAAATGCAACAGAAGAAAGGAAAGTAGATAGGATATTCCCCTCACAGTTAAAAAAAAAAGTTAAATAAATAAATAAATAAATCTGCCATTCACAAGTGAATGATAAAAGCTTGAGTAATAGAAAGGAGGGAAGTAACACACTGTCAGATGAAAAAACAAAGCTGTATGAAAACACCTGCATTCTACCATCACAGAAAGAGCAAGAAGATGTATGAGAGATTTGGGAAGAATCTGGAAATCTAAATACTCAATTATACTACAAGAAGAGAGCTAGGTGAAAAGTGGTACTGTAAGCATGGGGGTGGGAGGGGGAAGATGAAGAAAGAATGCAAAATGAGTATCACAGAAAGTTAAGTCCTAATTCAAGTGATCACAGAGAACAGAACAGCTAAATATCAGGAAAATAAAAAAGTAGAACTTACAATAAGACAATATAATGGTACAAGATGCAGAAAAAACAGAAAACATTTGCAGTGACAGTGAAAGGCACTGGGAACATGTAGTAAGGCACTCATACCTTCATTCCAGGACATATCCTCAAGATAAATTTGTGCATGTAGTGGCCATTCTTTTGTCAGATTATCTTCTATAAAGAAAACATAACAGATGTTCAACCCTGAAAACATAACAGTCCTTATTTCTTTCTGAAAAATTAATAGTTTTATATACCTATCAGTCAATCTGGTTCCTACTAGAGAGTCATATGTACACCACATTATCCATTAAAAAGCCAGTTCTTAAAAATTTTAGTTTCCATATCTCTGCATAAGCTGGAAAATGCCCTACTATAGCCAGAAGTAAATAGTGAAGATGTATTACCGAACCCATATCTCTGCATAAGCTGGAACATGCCCTACTATAGCCAGGAGAAGTAAATAGTGAAGATGTATTACCGAATGGTTCCTACTAGAGAGTCATATGTACACCACATTATCCATTAAAAAGCCAGTTCTTAAAAATTTTAGTTTCCATATCTCTGCATAAGCTGGAAAATGCCCTACTATAGCCAGAAGTAAATAGTGAAGATGTATTACCGAAATTATGACACTACTGAAACCAGTACTTTTGCACATCCCAAACAATTATGTGAAATTAAGGGCAAACTTGTGTTTTGATATAAATACCTTTTAAAAAAGCCTGGCTGTAACTACAATTCCACCAGCTGAAATGGTGTCTGTCTGCTTGCCTGTACTTTTCATAAAATCACAGAATGGCTGAGGTCAGAAGGGACCTCTCAAGATCACCTAATCAAACCCTCCTGCACAAACAGGGTCTGGTACAGCCAGTTGCCCAGGACCACCTCCAGTCAGATTTTAAATATCTCCACAGATGGAGACCCCGGCCATCTCTCTTAGGCTGGCAACCCATTCTCCTTTAGAAAGGAGAAGCCAAATGAAAAAACACCCATAAGCACCACAGAAATGTTAGGGTTGTGTGTAAGAACACCAAGATTCCTGCAAAAAGATATTCCTAACAAAAGATAAATGAAAACACTTTTAGGGGAAGACTAGTCCAAGTGTTCTTTTCTGACAAGGAGTCTCTCAGCACAGAAAGAAGGTCAGTTCTGGCCTGCACCCATGAGATCTGTTGCCATTGGATCTCCTAGATCTTTCTAACATCGAGTACAGCATGAAATGAAAAGTGTACAATACAATTGAAATTATCAGATGCAAACCATACAATACAAACACAAATTATTTTTTACAATTTATCAGCACACTCATATTTGATGTATATAAAGTTTACACCAAGTTCTTTAACTTGACAATGTAAGATTTTATCAACAAAGTTACAAGTGAAGCCATAAAAGGTAATATATATTAAAAAAATCCAAAACCAAAGGACATAAACCCTTCACCACTTACTACACAAAACCTCCCAGCTGCTGCCTGACACCTGAAGCTCCGAACTCCCCAAGTGCTGTATTTTAAAGAACCAGAAACGCCTGAAAGCTGATCTTTAGCTCATACACAGAAATGCCTTAGATTTGGCAAGACTTGGGAGCTTAGTGCCTATTTAAGGTTTAAATCGGGTTGTTACTGAGAAAGTAGGCGTTCCTTCTCTTCGATCAGTGAGTTCTTAAGCAAGTTTTATAGTTTAATAACATCAACCTTTCTAGAGCATATAGTGTTGGCTACAGCTTTCTATGAAAAGTAAGTTGGCAGTGAAAGAATTTCTTATTCCAGAATTACTTATTCAGCACTTGCTGAAAAAGTCAGAGGCCCAGAGGTTGCCCTACCTAGTCACTAAACTGTAGGTATTCTAAGTGGTTCCCAGCTTCTATGTAACTGCTCTTTGCTCTGGACTGAAAAGCAAAAATAACGCACTTTGCAGCTACCTCCTCCGGTAATACCCCAGAAAAACTGTGCATCTCCAACCTTTACCTGATCAGGTAACGAGTATTTCCTTCTTTATCACCAAACATCATCCTCTGATTGCTACCACCTTACTCTTCTAAAGGTTGTATCGGATATCAGTGAAGTAGTGACTCAGAGTAGACATACATCATTAGTGTATTAGTCGATTTCACACATTATCTGTGTAAAGCATCCTATTCACAAGTAAGATTACAACTTACAACAAAGTATTTGTAAGTTGTTGCAAAGAAGTTTAAGGCTACTATGAAAGCATAATCCTAGCAATAGCTAAATCACAGATTTCTCTATAGTTAATTATCTAAACTAACTTAAAAATCTAACCAACCTGTTGTTTCAGTTTTTCATCTTAATTGTTGTCCTTCCATGGCTCTATCAGTTTTAAAATTAGAGTACCATAGGTAGAAGTATTATTGTAATGTATTAGTAGTGAAATGAACCACTTGCAATTTAACTATCCTTATGTGTAAGGGGGGGTGGCAGGGTGGGAAGAGTTAATAATTACATTTTGGCTTTTTAAATAGGAAATTTAAGGCCAGTTTGAAAAAAAAAAAAACACAAAAAAACAACAAACAAAAAACCACACCACCAAATATTTAGTCCCAGTCTTTATTTTCAAACTAAATGACTGTTATAATTTTAACTGAAATTTACGTTATATATCCTTGAGAATAAGCCTCATCTAAATTAGTTTTAATGAAGGAGATTAAAACAAGTCAGACATATTGGAAATAATGACAGATTCAGTACAGCCTCTTTGACGTCACCTTTGCTGGACACCTCTTCTGTAATGAAAAGGTCAGAATGAAAAGAAAATTAACCCACTCACACCTAATACTTTACTGCTGTCAAAAGAAAAGAAAAAAAAATTGGCAGGAGTGTAATGATGAAAGAAAACTGGAAGATATACCTATCAGTCAGTCATTCTCATAGTTGTATATGCCCTCAATTACATAAACAAGAGCTGTAGGTAATGTTTTAGTTACACAAAGAAACAACATTTTTCTTAACACCTGATCAGAACATTGGTTAACTGCGTGAAATATCCAAAATACAATAAAATGCTCTTAACTCATGCCAAATAACTCTAATGTTACTTGGAGTTAGTCTGTTACAGCCTTCTAGCTACAAAATATGGGAAGAGGAACTGTGAATGTCCTGAAACCACCCACAAAATCAACCAGAGACCTTTCTTCGACCAGGCCTTGTGTGAAGTAAAGACTCCTCCTCCTCTTTTTTGAGGGAGGAAAAAAAAAAAAGGCAGAGATCAAAAAGAAGTCTACCTACCTACCTTCGGGTTCTTCTCTCCACTGTGGTAAAAGACGACAATACTACAACTGTGAGAACAGTATGAAAAAGGCAAGTGCCTCCTATTTCACCTGGTTTTGTTTTTTTTAATACTGGGAAGAAAAATTCACAAAGGAAAATGGCCTCTTAGGTTGCAGGAAGCACAGATTTCTTCCTAAACTTCATTTATAGGTAGCAAAAAAATGAATTAAAAAGAAACCAGGCTTTCCTATTTGGAATTCATGAAGCAGGATTTCACTTGGAACAAGTTTTATAGGATCGGAGGTGGAGGTCTAGGTCATGTCTTACTGGTAGGAAATACAAAAAGGGCAGATGGACCATATACCACCATGAAGAGAACTGCTGAGATGCAAATTCACAAGGTTACCATACTTCCTGAAGTAAAATTACTCACGAATCATAGAATCATTTAGGCTGGAAAAGACTTTTGAGATCATCTAGTCCAGCCGTTGAAGTAATGAAGAAAGAATGAAGAGGAAGGCTGAGGAAAAGTCAACCCTCTCTTCTGTTCCAAACATAGTACAATATGAAGCACAGGGAACAGGATTTCAACCAAGCTTTTCTAATTCATTACTGCAATTGTAATTTGGAAAATAAAAACATCTAAAAAAAAAATAAAAAAATCAACAGGCAAAATTAATCACTTATACAATTCCCAGCCTGAACTGAGATCATTATTCCTAGTCTGATGCTCAAGTCTGAAAGAGTCTTACCGGTTATCGTAAGAGATGTAAATTTTCAATTAGTACTCTTGACTTGAGTAAGGGTCCAAACTTAGCACATAATCCAGTAACTGCTCTTGTCAGTCAGTTTTGTATGCTGCATTTAGTTGCTTATCTGGTTCAAGCAGGAAAAACTTATTTTCCAGAGCTGAACAAAGCTTTTTTATTTTTTAGTTCTGCTACGAAATACACTACCCCATCTAATATACCTTACAACAGCAGAAACAGATGGAGCCACTTATTTAAAGAGGCACAGCCCAGTATGAGTTTGGGGAGCTTAAGCAGAACTACAAGCCTCACTGTTTTCAGAGAGTGCGTTAGTGACGACTATTTCTTGTGCTTTTCCTTATTTCATCTACGTCATTATTACTACAACCATGACTCCCTCGTTAGTGGTTCTCTGAAGTAAACCGGTGTCTGATTTTCACTCCCTTGCCAGAGGAGGTTATTTAAGACTGGTATTGTTACCAGTACTGACTTATGCGGTAGGCTCACTTGTACGTGACATCTGCTCAAGCTGTAGAACTCTGTGTACCGAGTTGTACTTTCTGAAACACGCTCCTGAACATATAGGGAAAATTATGAAGACCTGATCATCTACCGTAACTGGAAAAACAAATTTTAATTCACAAGAAGTACAGCCTGCCTGGCTTTGCCATCTATTGGATTTGTCTGACAACAAGAGGTGAAAGGATTCTGCAGCTCCATTGTCTCAACTGCAGGATCTAAGAAAACACTGGCAGGCTCATCAGAGAGGTTTATGAGCCTGCAATTCAAAGAGATTAAAAGGAAAAATCTACTGAGATTCTTTCAGGCTACAGAACAACATTAAATAACTATTAGCAGCTTGGTTCAGTAAAGCTTTACTAGAGCCCTTGCTGGGTCATTCAGAAATTATAAAAGAGGAAAGGTATTTAAGTTTCACTTGAGGATACAATAAATATTTCTTGGGCTATTTAAGGCTGAGTTTTAGGGAAAGGGTTGCAAGCAGTAAATGGAAATTTAACCCTTTTAACAGTTTATGGTAATAGTAAAAATAGTCATAACACTTAAAAGATCTTTCTAGCTGTTTATCAGTCATATATTAGGATGGATTTTTTTTAAAAAAAACTAAATACATTTAAAAAGTTTAAGATATGTATTGTCAAATACTGTTCATAGTATCTACTCAGTATCAAAAT